TTTTATGGTAGAATCAAAAATATTTTCTGTTCTTGAAGTTGCTAAATCAATATTTTCTGTTCTTGAAGTTGCTAAATCAATATTTTCTGTTTTCATCCAAACTCTGCCCAGGTCAAAGTTGATCTACTCAACCATTTACACTGAATCCTGGCAAGCTCGCTAAATTGTAGCCCTCCTTGGATTAGCGGTGATAGGCCTATGGATCTGAATATATAAGAATTACAATCACCGATCATTCTGTCTCAATGAAAAACGGTAAATTGAATGTTGGGGGGAGGGGGGAAAAGAAGAAAAGAAGCAAGATCATCTAGTCTTTTCTTTCTTGTGGATGAATTTCCAACAATGCTACAAATGCGTCTGACAAGGATGTATGGAAGCGACATTTTAGTATGTTTTGGATAACATGAATCAAACTGAAGGTACTTTGTCGTATCTGTCGATTTATAGAAAATATCAGTTTTTATCAAATTGCCATTATTTTGCAGGGCGTTCGTAAAACGTTTTCTGACTCGTGGCTATTCACGTATTAAATGTAAAACAAAAATGTTCTGCGCAACCGGAAGTTAGATAGCAAAAAACCGGAAATGGACTGTAGAGGGCGTATTTATCGTTCGATTTTGCTCGGGTTTCCTTTATTATAATTCTTAGTACAAAGGACATATGATAGCAGTTGAAAATATTCGATTTTCCAAAAATCGTTCGATACTTTTCTTTGTCGAAATTAATCGAAAAATGCTATTTCGGTTGCTTTTTGACGGATCGATTTGAAATTTTTATGGCGTAGACCGTCGGTATTGGCAAATAATTCTGCATAGTCAAAAAATGTTTATCACTTCCGGTTTCGATATAAGTACTTCCGGTGACATCACTTCCGGTGAAATTGAATTATGTAAGAAATGACATATGCATAAGGTTAGTGTCACCAATACAAAGTGTTATAACTAAAAAATATTGTACCGGAAGTAACATATAGGTCGCCATATTGGTTTGCCTCAATATGCAAAACTTGCTATTTTGGAGCTATTTATTATCCGATTTGAACAATTTTGGTGTCAAATGATAGAATTAACGTTTATCTAAAACTTATTGAGGACAGAATTTTGATTTTCGGTTTTTCCTTTTTTGTACAACCGGATTTTTTTTTTTAAGTTTGAAGGCGTATATCTCATGACCTTGACCTTTGGTGACCTTCATATTTACTATGATGATAATTTGTGACCTTGTCTATCTGATGACCTTTTGAACTTTGGGGTCAGACAACTATTTTCGATTTTATAGGGGTTTAAAAATGGTCCATTTTGAACCTTTGCAGTGCTGTATCTCGTATCCTAATAGTGATATAGCAATAATTCTTTCGATTTCACAATGCTGAGATTCTGGGCTTTCCAGTGATATAGAAAATGTAAAATTCTATTCTTTTAACATTGTGGTACCAAATTTAAGTTGGATAATGAGATGTCAGTATAGATGAAATTCCTGAGTTTGGCATGTCCGTTAAAATACCATTCTCCCCAATTTCTATCAGAAAGTTCTTCAACTCCAGGCACTTTTAGATATTTGCATTTAGAGATGCAAAAAAGTATTTACATCAATGTAATTGCAATAGACCAACTTCGTATGTACCTGAATGTCGTAACACGCCCTGCATCAGTACTGTTATTAGTACAGTTCTAGTTGCAGGGCGTTCGTAAAACTAACTGTTTATTTTTTTTTTTTTTGCTTCATCCCGGGAGCTTAGTTCTCGGAAACCAGCCTTAATACAAACCTTTCAAACTAAAAAATCGTACCGGAAGTAACATGTTTGTCGCCATATTGGTTTGCCTCATTTTTGCCCAAATCGATTCCCAGAATTCATTTTTAATCCGATTTGCGTAACGTTTGTGTCAAAAGATCTGTTTAATGTTTGTCTACAAATGATAGGAAGCATAATTTTGATTTTCGGTTTTGCCTTTTTTGTACGACCGGATTGTTTTTTTCAAAGTTTGAAGGCGTATATCTCATGACCTTGACCTTTGATGACCTTCATATTTACTGTGATGATAATTTGTGACCTTGTCTATCTGATGACCTTTTGACCTTTGGGGTCAGATTCCTATTTCCGATTTTACAGGGGTCTAAATATGGACCATTTTGAGTCTTTAAAGTGCTATATCTCGGTCCCTAATAGAGATATGGCAATAATTCTTTCGATTTTGTAATGTAGAGATTCTCAGCTTTCCATAGATATATAACATGCATACCTTACATGCAAATTCAAAACTCCATTCACTTAACATGGGGTTATTATTAGATAAATCGGCTAATTAGATTAACCTGGCTGTCAACCCCAATAGAAATCAAATTTTAAGTTGTTTTAAAGATACCCTCCCTTTTATATTTCTCAAAAATGATCTTTGTCCAGTTATGGTATAAAATTAAGCTCTTGGGTGGATTGAATCATGCCATATTGTAGTTTAAGCTCACGGCAGCATATTGAAGGTATACCTCCACTTAATTTACCAACTTTCTCATTTCTTATCCGATTTTCATCAAACTTGGTATGTATGTGTATAATCAAATTCTAAATTTGATGGAATTATGGAATTTGCGTAGTGCGCATGCGCATTGCCAACTTTCTTATTTACTATCCGATTTTCATCAAACTTGGTATGTATGTGTATAATCAAATTCTAAATTTGATGGAATTTTCGAATTTGCGTAGTGCGCATGCGCATTGCCAACTTTCTTATTTACTATCCGATTTTCATCAAACTTGGTATGTATGTGTATAATCCAATTCTAAATTTGATGGAATTATTGAATTTGAGTAGTGCGCATGCGCATTGTCAACTATCTTATTTCTTTTCCGATTTCCATTAAACTTGGTATGTATGTGAATAATCCAATTCTAAATTTGATGGAAATGTTGAATTTTTGTTGTGCGCATGCGCCTTACCAACTTTCTTATTTTTTATCCGAATTTCACCAAACTTGGTATGTATGTGTATAATCAAATTCTAAATTTGATGGAATTATCGAATTTGAGTAGTGCGCATGCGCATTGCCAACCTTCTTATTTCTTTTCCGATTTTTATAAAACTTGGTATGTATGTGAATAATTCAATTCTAAATTTGATGGAAATATTGAATTTTTGTTGAGCGCATGCACATTACCAACTTTCTTATTTCTTATCCGGATTTCATCAAACTTATTCTTTATTAAATGACAAATATTCTTTTATTCCTAGTAAATATACTTTAAACTCCAACCACTTTTGGATATTTGCATTTAGAGATGCAGAAAGGTATTTACATAAAGTAATTGCAATAGACCATCTTCGTATGTACCTGAATGTCGTAACACGCCCTGCATCAGTACTGTTATTAGAACAGTTCTAGTTTCGTATTGTTATGGATGGTAATTCATTTGCCATCTGTTTCTATGTTAAATCTCAAAATTCAACCTTCTATAACTTTTTCCAAGCAGCAATCTCCGTGAAAACTTTCCAATATGTCGCTCGAAAGCCAATGGCCAATACTTAGTTTCTTGACCATGAAAATCTTGAACTAGCCAAACTGTATGTACACCACTACATTTTACCAACCTCGGCTTGACTGTCAATACATACAAAACGATTATTGTTAGAATTATCCCTCCGCATGAAAATCTCTCATCATCTCGCAAAATCTGAAAGAAAATGCAATTTCAGACATCAAATTCCAAATCTAGACCAAAATTAATAAAAAAATAGGCATGCAAAACCCCAAAAAGGATAGGCGGGAGAAGAAGGATTTCTTAAAATAGCACGGACTACATTTTATTCAATCATTAATATAAAATTAATAACTGGAGTGGTCCTATTATGAAGCATACTTTCCTAGTTATCACCCTTTACATCGCTCTTCTAAGAAAGGTAAATAAGATTCCTCACATGACCCAGCACCATAATGTAAACAACATAATTTCACTAATTAATCAATTCATCTTATGTTGTAAGACCTAATATAAATCCACTTCCAGTTAGTAATAGAATTAGTGAAGCATTATTTGATGAGTTAATAATAATAATAATAAATAATAATAATAATAATAATAATAATAATAATAATATCAATGCTGAATTAAATAAAAGTAAAATTAGTCCAGCAAAAGATGATTATAGTTTGTGGACACTACCTAAATTTAAAAACTCCGTTGAGATGTGACCTTATTTCAAAACCATCGTCTATTTTGATAAATACAGCTTTCACCACTCAGTGTGCTACTGATGACATCATTGATCGACATGAAATACTCGAAAATTATGAAATGTTACCTGAAGCATACGGAAGTGTTTACCTTTAAATTATCATTCTTTATTATTGTCATGTGACCTATTGTGATCATGTGATAATATCAACCAATCAGATTTTTTAATAAAGCTTAAGCGCAGTACCTACAAAATGGTATCCTCCATAACACAACTGTCACATGGTTGTCAGAAGTGAAAAATAGAAATATGGAGAAAATTCAGCCTCCCAAGCCCATAAGTTTCAGTGGAAACATTGCAGAGAATTGGAGAAAATTCGAGCAAAGGTACAGAATTTATATGAAGGCTGCAGAATTGTCCGAAAAAGACAATGATGTGCAGGTGGCTATTTTGTTACACACTGCAGGCCCAGAGGCAGTCGATATCCATGATACTTTTGTTTATGGCGCAGGAGAAGATAGAGCGGCAGTTGAAACGGTTATTGAAAAATTTAAAGCCTACTGTCAGCCTAGAACAAATGAAGTATATGGAAGATATAAATTTTGGGACCGTAATCAGCTTGAAGGTGAATCTATAGACCATTGGGTGACAGAATTGAAGTCAAAAGCTGCATTATGTGAATTTGGAGATCAAAGAGACAAGATGATTCGTGATAAAATAGTGTTTGGTGTGAGAGACAAGCGAGTAAAAGAACGTTTGTTTAGAGATACTTAATTAACCATTGAAAAGGCTATTGAAAATACCAGAGCAGCTGAAGCTAGCAAGCAACAAATGAAAACTATGAATGGTGAAATTGCTGCTGTAGATAGCATACAAAACTTTTCAAGAAGAAAACATTCTGCAGATCATAGACACGATGAAAATAAATACAAACCTAGGGGTAAGCCTAAATGAACACTGAATCATACTGACAGATCACAGGACAGTTCTAAAATATCAACAGACTGTAAATACTGTGGTTTTGAGCATCAACCAAGGAAATGTCCAGCTTGGGGTAAAAGGTGCAAGAAATGTAATGGAAGAAATCACTTTGCAGGGGTATGTAATAGTACTAATAAAACAAGAACCAAAGATGTACATGATTTTCATGAAACTGTAGACTCTGATAGCAGTGATTATAGTTATGAAGATACACTCTTCATCAATACAGTAGATACTAATAGTAACCTATTTGTTGGAAGTCTCAACAGTGATGATAAATGGCATGTTGATGTTAATTTAGAGAATACTGGTCCTGTAAGATTCAAATTGGACACTGGAGCACAGACCAATATTTTACCTTTGTCAGTGTATAAGAAAATAAATCCTCATCAACTACCGCGAACAACCAACACAGTTTAACATGCATTTGGTAACTCAAAAACAGTTAAAAAAACTCAGATACAGCTATTTTAGGGCACAGAGCATGTGAAAAGTTTAATTTAATACAGAGATTAGAAGTAAATGTGCTGAATCGACATGATCTTATTGAAGAATACCAAGAGGTTTTTAAAGGCATTGGTGAATTTGATCAAGAATATCACATCCAAGTGCGTGATAATGTGAAGCCACAGATCCAACCACAGCGCAAAGTTCCATACTCAAGATTTGATAAATTGCAGAAGACTCTTGATGATCTTGAATGTCGAAATATTATAGCCAGTGTAGATCAGCCAACAGACTGGGTGAGCAATTTAGTCATAGTGGAGAAGAAAATGGTTCTCTCCGATTGTGTTTAGACCCAAAGCCACTTAATGAAGCCATTAAGCGTGAGCACTACAGAACTCCAACACCAGCAGATGTACAAAGCCGACTGAATGATAAACAAGTATTCACTGTTTTAGATGAAAAAGATGGCTATTGGCAAGTTAAATTAACAGATAAATCATCCTATTTAACAACATTCAATACCCCATGGGGAAGAAAACGATTCTTAAGAATGCCCTTTGGCATATCATCATCTAGTGAAGTAATGCAGAAACGTAATGAGCAGACTTTTGGTGATATTAATGGTGTTTTCGTCATAGCTGATGACATGATTATAGCAGGTGAAAATGAGAAAGAACATGATGCTATTCTACGTAAAGTGATGGAGAGAGCTCGTGAGAAGAACATTAAATTCAACAAAGACAAAATTCAGTATAAAGTTTGTGAAGTCAAGTATATTGGTAATCTAATAACATCCCAAGGTTTAAGACCTGACAAAACCAAAGTTCAAGCCATTGTTGAAATGCCCAAGCCAGAAGACAAGAAAGCTTTACAAAGAATTCTTGGGATGATCAAGTATTTATCTCAATATATACCAAATGAATCTGAAATAACAGCTCCACTACGTTCTTTATTAAGACAAGATGTTGAATGGTCATGGCAACCAGAACATAACAATGCTTTTCAACAGTTAAAAGACATTTTGACAGCTGAACCTGTTTTACAATTCTATGATGTAAACAAACCTGTTAAAATTCAAGCAGATGCTTCAAAAGAAGGTCTAGGAGCATGTCTTCTACAGAATGGTAGACCTATCGCATATGCATCGAGATCTCGTACTACTAGTGAGAAGAATTATGCCCAAATTGAGAAGGAGATGCTCGCTCTTCAATTTGCAACAACCAAATTTCACCAGTATATTTATGGTAAAGATGTTGAGGCGGAAACGGATCACAAACCTCTAACATCAATCATAAAGAAGCCTATAGCAGACACATCACCACGACTTCAACGTATGTTAATCAAATTACAACGGTATAGAATCAACTTGAATTACGTACCTGGGAATTATTTATATGTTGCTGACACATTGTCTAGAGCATACCTTACAAACATATCTGATGAAACTACAGACGACATGGAAGTAGAAGTAATGGTTTACAATTTAATAGAAGATTTTCCTGTAAGCGCTATTCAAATAGAAGATATCAAGGCTGAGACCCAGTACTTCAATCCTTACGTCAACTGATTAAAGATGGGTGGCCAGACTGTAAATCCAGCACTCCACTCAATACCAGAGCATATTGGAATTGTCGTGATGAAATCTATGAAGCTGGAGGATTAGTATTCATATCATCATCGTATCATCATTCCTTCATCTTTGATTCTTAATATGTTAAAACTAATACATGAAAGTCATCAAGGAGCAGAAAAGTCCAAGAATCGTGCAAGATCAATTATGTATTTTCCTGGAATGTCATCTGAAATAGAAGATATTATTGGTAAATGTCCTACGTGTTTAGAATTCAGAAACAGCAAACCCAAAGAGCCACTGATTCCACATACAATACCAGAACGACCTTGGCAGAAATTAGCTAGTGACATTATGACATTCAAAGGTTATCATTATCTTGTTGTTGTGGACTTTACTCAAAATATCCTGAATTAGTTTTCCTAAGAAAAGACAAAACAGCTGGTAAATTAATCAAACACATGATACATGAAGAAATCGTGACCGATAATAAGCCTTATGATAGTTTCGAATTCAAGACTTTGCCAAAGAATGGGGTATTAAGTGTACTACATCAAGTCCAAGATTTCTTCAATCAAATGACATGAGTGGACGTTATGTGCAGACATTAAAACGCATGTTGAAGAAAGCAGATCGTGAAGGAAAAGACATTCACATAGCACTTTTAGAATACAGAAATTCTCCAGTAGTAGGAATGTTTTACTCGCCAGCTCAACTACAGATGAGTCGAACTTTACGAACTAAGCTTCCAACCACCAATCAACTGTTGGAACCTAAAGTGGTTAATCCTTACAACGAATTACATGACAGACAACATCGACAGAAACATTATTTTGACAGAGGAAGCAGAGAGGCAGAAAGTTTAAAAGCAGGCGATGTCGTTCGCATACGTAATTATAAAACATGGGAACCAGGAGTGATATCCAGAAAATCAGTTTATCCTCGTTCCTGATGGTCAAGAGCTTCGCCGCAATCAAAGACATCTTTTGAAAACAAAAGAACTGTATCCTATATTCATACCTCAAGATGATGATCCAGAACCTAATACACAATTACCTCAAAATTGTATTGATGAATCAGTCTTACCACCACCAATTTTAACACCTGAACCTAAACCACAGCTGTCTAGTCCGAATACATCATCAGTAGCCCAACGTGTGTTGTCAAGAAAACGTGTTAAGCGTCGACCAACCAAATATGACGATTATGTTAAAGCTAAACCTGATATACTATTTTATGTTTTTTTTAAAACAAATGTAAAGTTATAAACTATTAAAAGAACCATAGAGTTCATAAGTGACAATTAACAGAAAGTTAAATTAAATATTAATTTCTTATTGAAAAGGGGAGATGTAGCATACTGAAGTGTTTACCTTTAAATTATCATTCTTTATTATTTTCATGTGACCTATTGTGATCATGTGATAATATCAACCAATCAGATTATTTAATAAAGCTTAAGTGCAGTACCTACAAAATGGTGTCCTCCATAACACAACTGTCACATTACCTCCACCGTTAGTTAATCAAGAGATATGGGGCGAAATTGGTGTTAAAACTCACACCCATGAAAGACATTTTAAAGGTATTCAAAAATTATTAGCTGCTGGCATTAAACTGAATTGATAAGAAATAACGATGAAGTAAAGAGATTAATTTCTGATTCAATAACATTGATTTGGCAGGCCCAGTGCAATATTTCTTTACGATGCAGATAATATATGATTCGTCCTTATTTTAAAAAGAAGTATTCTAATCTCTGCAATATAAATACTCCCAATTAGGCTACTTGCTATTTATTTGGGGATGTAACTAGCTTGTTTATGATGTTGATTAGTACTCAGTTAGATCAACTTTTGGTTCTGTCTTCCCCTTCTTCTTCCATTTGCCTAACTCTAAAACAATGCTGTTTATTTGGTTTTCCTATTTTTAGGTTGGCCTTTTCAAGATTTTTTTTTCTTGTTTTGGTTGCTTGATGCTTGTTGTTGCTTTGAATTCGTCGTTCTTTTTGGTTGTTGAGTTCCAAATTGATGACGATTTCCTGTTTTAATCCCAACAGTAGGCCATACGTTGTCGTGCTTGCTTTTTATTTTGATCTTTTTGTTTAGGTTTTGTAGCTAGACGGTCAGAAACCACTGCATACGCCGGTTTTGCTTTGGAGTCTTTTTCCTTGATGAAAGGAGTTTGTGTTTTCTTTTACCATTCGAATTGGTTTAAAGTCATGTAGACATTTCAGACTCTTTTCACATCGACTTGCCAATGTTTCCTCGTGACTTGGCATCGTTTTGGCATTGCTATATTGAGGAGTTCTTCTGTTAACCCTTCAGAGACAGATCTGATTATATCCGTCATTTCGGAATCGATATTTCGACATGTATTAAATTGACTGTCTGCCCTTAGTCGTATGAGTTTAAGTAGAATATAGTTACAGTAGATCAATAAAACCGCTAAAGATGGTTAATATTGATTCAATATGCTTCAATTCCATATTCAATAATTTCACCCACTCTAAATTTTAATTCTACAGTGAATCCATCTCATGCGACCATCTTTAGCAAACACCTTCAATATTCGACCACAATAAAGTCGTATGGAACCTTTATTTCAATTTTGAATTCTCGTTATTATTAAAATATTGTTCATTCAATTTTATTTTTTTTTAATTTAGAATTTACTGTTTTCCGTCCTGCTGGTAGCTGGTTTGTCGTCTTTGACAATCTTTTACATGTATTCAAATAATTATCGGATCATGAATTTTGGAATAAGGTCTGATGTGAACACAGGTTTCAGTTATTCAAATGCCAACAGTTCAAAATATGTTATTTATATCTGTGATGGGAAGAACTTATGTGGAGGATATGGTGATAGACAAAAAGGAATTGTGGCTTCATATATTATATCTGTTATGTTGAACAGACAATTTGGTGTAATAATGAACGATTCGTGTGATATAAAACAAATGTTCAAACCGAATCAAATTAACTGGATAGTGGATAACAATGATATTAAAAGTAAAACTTCAAAGAGAATCACGGCTATAGATGGTTATTCCAACAAGTTGAGGAAATCCATGATAGAAATGGATCTAGATCAAGAATATAAAGAAGAAGTAATTTTTTTTTCTTTAAATTTAGAATTCGTGTTTTATCTCCGACAAAACAAAAGATATGAAAAACAGTTAAAGTGGTTGGAGCACCTGTCAATGTCAGAAATATATAATGTAGTATGGCACAGTATTTTTAAGTTAAGGCCACATATTCAAGAAAAACTTGACCCTTTTTTAGATCTGAAAAAACAAGGACTAAAATTGATCAGTGCTCAGATACGACTTGGAAAAAATCCAACGATTCCACGTGACTCTAGAGTGGTAAATAGTTTAAACAATATGAATGTTTTATGGCAATTTTATAAAAAATATAATGACAGTTCTAAATATAGAATATTTATTAGTACTGATAGTGACACTGTTCGAGAAAAAGCCAGATCCATATTTCCAGACGTCTATTCTGATGTCCCAGGTAAAGTGTTCCATGTTGAAAGATCAAATAAAACTGATATATGCAATGGTTGGCGTAAAGTGATACTAGATCAAGTAATTCTTAGTCTGTCTGATGTTTTAGTGATAAGTAATAGTGGATTTGGGAGAATAGCTGCATTTTTTCGACAAAATGAAAATGATTTATACTGTTTGAATCTAGATAAAATACGTCGTTGTACCACACAATCTGAGATATTTATTGAAAAATCTTGGTAATAGAAAACACAATTTGGTCAACCGATATAGTTCAAAAAGGAAAGACAACAATAATTTGCAGCCAGTCACTATGACCATCTTACTTCCATTTTTGAGCTACATGTACATGTATATCATAAACTATACATAAACCTCTATTCACATAGTGTACAAGGTACATACGGTAGACATCATAATCAAAAAGTTACCGTCGAAATATAATAGTTCTTTTGTGTGTGTGGTTTTTTTTTAAGGAGACTCTTTACTTACAGTAAAATACGTAGTGTGTGACACCATTGTATTTGTTATTATTAATGATTATTAATCATTCACGTAGATTAGGTAGTATAAATGTTAGCTTACACAGAGAGTCAATGTAAAACTAGTAAGAACAGAAAAGGCAAGTGAAGAGTTTTCAAGGCAAATCATTCACCACCAATCCACTATCTTTAATATCACTAAAGCTAAATCCATGGTTTTATTTTATCAAAAACTATTGCCCAGCTTCGAAAATAATGTACCCTTGCCATAGTCACACCTAGCTATCAATTACAATTTGCTGATTGTTATAAAACGGTTCAGTTTGTTCAACCAATGCTTCATTGATTTGTACTATATATATATGTTTGTTCACATTTTTGTTGATTCACTTCACAAGTGCTAAAAACAAAGAAAGTGCCATTTTTCTACATATAATTTGGTGTTTTGTAAGCAATTCAATTCTATCAAGGATATTTCAGTTAAAAAACGTTTATATCTTACAATATTTGGTTCTAAATTAAGAAGTTTGGATTGATAAATGAAATATTTGGTTCAAATCATTGTATGATTTACAAAGTGCCACATTGGTTTAGACATATTATCTGGTATAATTGGTATCCCAAAAATTTTTACTGTTGTGGTGATTTGTAATGGGATATACTGATCCATAAATAGTTGGGATAGGAAATTCCAGAGAACTTGGGATATATTACAATATCAAAAGATATATTCAATTGTTTCTATATCATTACTACAAAAATCACATAGTGAGCTATTTTCATAACCTATTTTTGTAATTTGAAATTAGTAAAGATAATTCTGTGTAAAAATTTAAATTCAAAATCTCTAATTTTAGTATTGTAGATAACAGTTTTTATTTTTCTAAATATTAATTTAAATTCTTCTTCTGACAAAATATTATTAAGTATTTGTTGCCAGGTTTCTATACCACGTGGTTTCACAAAGTGATCCTTGATAAGAGTATCGTATATATTTTTTGACCTAATTGAGTTTATATTATATTTATAAATTTTCTCTAAGTTATTGTGTATTATTCCAGTTAATGTTAAATTATTCTTGAATTTACATGTGTTTGATTCAAAAACATCTTGCACTAATAAAATACTATTTTTTATATAAATTTTTATCAAATACAAGATTATTTCCTATTTTCACATATTTATTAATCCAAACTATTTGTTTATTTAAGTCGTACTGTATAAGTTGAATACCATTTTTCATATGAATTTGTATAGAAATCACTTTTTATTTTTAACTTTTTTGAAAAGTTACAACCTGGTAATATAAAACCATTATAATTAGACATTGTATATTTATACGGAATTGGCCATGTTTCAATTGTAGAAACCAGAATTTTCTTAATCCAAAAAATACACTTGCTTTTAAAGAATTCACTTCAGATTTACTGTTGTCCATGAATGCTGATATTGTATGGTTGTGTAGTGGTTCCTTTATCATTTTTCTTTTAATTTACCTCACAAACTTTTTCAAAATGAACAAAACCCCTAATTTGGAAGTCATTTAAATATTGAAATGTTTTTAGTCATTCTTTTATAAATAAACACTTTTCATTAAATATCTATTCCCCTTATCCCTTTAACTGAACCACTCCATAGTTCATTTATAGGATTGAAATACAAAACCATTGTCAAAAATATAATTCTATTAGTTATTTTTTTTAGAATAAATATGTCTTAATTTTAGGAGAAGGAACAATATTTTATGAAAAGCTCTTATCAAGCAACAATATACTAAGATTAAAGCATCTGTTGACCTGTCATCACCTTTTTACTGATTCAGTTCAGATTAATTTTTCTTATTTCTATAAAAAAAAGATTTTCGTTTTCATGTAATATATGTATATACGTTTCTTCAATTTTAGTATTTTTGAAAAGAAAGACATAATGTCTATTAAATTGTACCTTTTTCAACAAATT